GACCTCCCTGTTGTGTCTGCTCTGGGAAACCCCCACGAGTCCCTCCGCAGACCGGGCCCCCCGTGGGAGGAGGACCCTCACTGAAAGCAGGGACTGCAGAGAACGCTTGCTGGCCCCACCAGCCTCCCCAGTTCATCCCACCTCTGCCTCTGCCAGCCTGTCCTGGGCCTGAGGGGCGCTCTTGTGTGTAAGCGGGGGTGAGGTAGGCGAGTGCGCAGATGCGTGCGAGGTCGGTCTGAACATGGACGGCGCTGGTGCTGGCGGGCTGAGCACCCTGTGAGGGTGGAGCTCCCTGGGGCAGACCTTGCAGGCTGAGTGCGGAGCAGGAGGGGCCTGAAGGGGGCCCTCCTGGGGGACCCAGGGGCAGCTGTTGTCCACCCTGAGTGCGAGACTGACTGATGTGCCCGGGAGCTGCACGGGGTGGGAGGGGGGGGGCAGGGGAGACTGTGGGGTGGCCTGTGGCCCAGCCAAAATTCAGGGCCAAGCTGATATTGGGGTGCTTGTCAGCACTCTAGGTTCTTGTTCCTCCAGGATCCCACGGAGGGATCCCTTGCAGATCAGGTGAGCTGAGCATGCTTGGGGGGCGCCTGGTAAGGGCCTGGCAGCCCCTCCTTGGGGCGGAAGCTCAGCCTGCCCTGGAGCGGTTCCTGGGAGGAAGCAGGGCCAGGGATGGGAAGGAAATGGCTGGGCAGGCCCTGGCCCTTCCCTCTGCACACCCGTCCACTCCCAGGACCTTTGTTCAGACCCAGGGGTGAGGGGAGCTCAAATGCAGAGGCCACTCATGAATGCCCGCCATCCTGCTGCCTACTAGAGCCTACCACCCTCCTCCTGGCAGTCCAGCAGTCTCCCCTGAAGCCCTGGCTTCTCCTCCCAGATCCTGGCCTGCAGCCTGGAACCCTCCTAGCCCATGAGTATGATCCCACCCACACTTGATCTGACCGAGCTCTGGGTGAGCTGCTGTCTGAAAGGAGCCAAGGTTCCTGCAAACCAGGACCCCTACCCCACCACCCCAACCCTGCCAGAGGCCCAGCCCCACTGGCCGCCTACTGGCAGCACTGGACGGCCTTGAGTCAGCCCCTCAGCCCTCCTGGGGGTCGGGGTCGTCCCTGGGGCCTGCAGCTCAGAGGGAGTCAGCAGAGGGAGGGGGAGCTATGTGGAGGGGGCTGCACACTGTTTTGAATTCCCTTTCCTTCCCCTTTTATTCACGTAACCTTGCCTATCAGTGCGCACTTGGGTCAGACCCTGTAACCCAGTCTGTAGTACTGCGTTGCTCTGCTGTAACTCCAGCAGGTGTGGCTTCAGACACGGGGAGCTTCTGCAAGGTGCTACCATGTCCCTCACTGTGTGCACGCGTGCAAGCAGGTGTGTGTGTGTGTTTGCATACTCCTGCCTGTGTGGGTGTGTGTGCGCACATGCCTGCCTGTGCAGGTGCACGTGTTGTGGGCTTGTGAGCGGAGTGCGTGGGCACGTGTGTGGATGAAAGGATGTGTGGGCACCCTGAGTGTGTGTGCATGAGTGTGCATGTGCGTGCTTATGTGCCTTGCTGCTCGCGGGTGTGTGCGCATGTGCTTGCACATCCTTCCTCACTCTCTGGCCCAAGCATGTGTTATGGCACATTTCCTGCCCCATCATGGCCCCAGCAGCTTCTCCACAAGCTCAGGGGCCTTGACTGAGAGTGCGTGTGCTCATGGCTACGGAAGGGGCCTTGACCACGGTGCATGTGCTCATGGCTACGGATGTTCTCACATTTCCACCCTTCCAAATACGTGTGTGCACAAACCTGTGTACACACACGTGACCCTGACATTCCCTGGGGAGTTGTCCGTGTCCTGTTCAGCCCCAGATCTCTGATGCTAACCCCCGACATTCCAGCCCCTCCCCTCCCTGGCAGGTCTATGGCCCCCAGGTAGTGAGGAACCCCCAGACAGTGGTAAATAAAGCTGATGGGGGACTGTACTGCGGTCCCAGCCTAGGAGGCAGATTGGAGGAGGGGCGGGGCATGGGGTGTGGGTGGGCACAGATGCATGTGGGGGCATGCATTGGGCAGGCCTGGCATGTGGGACCATGTACAGGGCAGGGTATGGGATGTGGGCCATCACAGGCACGCCTGGCGTACAGGGCAGGTCTGGCATATGGGGTCATGTTCGGGGTAGGGCGTGGAGGGGGTGAACTTGGGCGGGCATGGAGTAGTTTCCAGGGGTATGCAGGGTGGGTCAGGGCATGGAGCGTAGGATGTGGTCCTGGTGTGGACATGTGTGGGCACATGAGTGTGTGCAGGTTAGGGTGTGTGCAAGGTGTGAACGGAGCAAGGATGTGGGTAGGGGTGTGGTGGAGCGTGGACGTGTGCAAGTGTGCATGGGTGTGTGAGGGGCAGGTATGCCAGGGGTGAGGCCCTGCAGCTGTGGGCTCTGCCTGGGGTGGAAGTTACCTGGCGTGGGGCCATGTGTGCTTGGTTGTTATTGCAAAGTTTTGGGAGTTCCAGAGGCGTGGTCAACAGGCCCCCTAAGGTGACTGGTGGATTAGGCTCTCAGAGAGCAAGGCAGAGCCTGGCAGAGTTGCATGCAGGGTTTGCTGATGGTGTGCAGGGTGCAGGACAGAGAGCCGTGCAGGGTAAGGACCAGAGTTTGCCATCTGCCCATGTCAGCAGGCATCTTGGGCCAGAGGGCTGGATTTGGAGTGTCCTTCTGCAGGGACTCAAGCCAGAGCTGGTCAGTGCAGCCTCCTGACCGCAGAATGACCCTGGTGTCCCCAAGTGTGTGACACAGACCCTGCACACACATACACAGGGCACTGGGCATTGGCCCTCGCCGGAAGAGCCAGAGGGTGGTGCCATCTCTGAGTCTTTGCCCTCCACCCAAGCTCGCTGACCCCCACTGCATAGGGACAAGGAGGAGGGGATCCTCGCTGCCTCTGACTCCTGCTGCCCAGATTGTACCCCCCTCGCCACTGAAGTCCTGCAGAACCAGCTCTGATTACCCCCTCTCCTGACACCTCTCATCATTTGGCCTCTGCCCCTCGGGGCTGCGCCCCCAGGGGGGCAAGCGCTGCTTCTCACCCCTCAGGGTAGGGTCTGCCTCAGTACTCAGCTAGAGCTAATCTCAAGAGCCCCCTCTGGGGGTCTCCTCAAGCTGGCATGGGCATGGTGGGCACATGTTCACTCCAGGAAGTAGCAAACATGACAGCAAGGCTCCCACACATGCCTAGATCACACACCAAGGAGCTCTTCCTCTTCTCACTTCTCTGGGGGGCTCCATCTTGGGAGGAAAAGAGCTGGGGGTCCTCCTGCCACCCCTTTTTGGGTTCCTGCAGAGGTGGGACTGTCAGGTCAGGGGTGGGGACAGATCCTAGAAGAGTTGGGGTTAGAAAACCCAGGGAGAACAGCCAGCCTGGCTGGTGCGGGTGGGGGGGCCTGGTGTGTGTCCCAGCCTGAGAGGGAGGGCTGGACATGTGTCTGTGTAGCTGGGAGGGTGTGTGCATTAGTGCATATGTGTGTGAGTGTTTGCACACGTGCAAGTGTGGTTATGATGTGTGAGTGCACCAGCACATTGTTGTGTGCATGTGCATATGTGAATCTGTGCATTTGATTATTAGTGTGTGCATGCACGAGTGTGCATCTGTGTCTGTGGGTTCATATGTGCAGCTGCAGGCACATGTGCATCTCAGTGCATGGGTGGGTGCGCATTTGAGGAGGGCTTGTGTGTGTGTGGCTCTGAGAGGGGCAAGGCACACAGATGTGAGGAAGAAGGGCCATTTCCCCAGGAACCCCAGCAACCCCCTCTTCCTGCCCCCACCCAAGGGGAGAGGCCCAGCTGCATAAAGACAAGCTTCCCCAGAGCCGCCCCCTGGCCTTGGCTGCTCCATCCCACACCTGCCCACACTGCCTCCTGGACCCAGAAGGAGGGGATCAGAAGCAGCAGGCACTCAGGGGTCTCCTATCCCCAAACCATCCCAAAGCAGGTACTGGCCTTAGTCATGATGGAGGGAGGGTGGGCCCTGGGGGGCTGCAGCCCCTCTCCCCTTCCTGGAGGCTCAGGATGATGAATAGCAGCGCCATTCTCTCCTGGGCGCAGGCCCACCGGGGGATCAGCACTGGTCTGGGATGTGGTGAGTGGCCCCATGGCAGTCTCCAGGTGTCACGGATGCCCTGATGTCTGTGTGCCTTGCTGGACCAGTCCCCATTCTGAACAGATGCCTGGCCTCACCTGGCTTCCCAGCGGGCCTGTCCTTGCTACATTTCTGCAGAGAACAGGGTGGTGGTGTCTGGACAAGACGGGGAAGCACCCCAGAGGGTTGGCCAGTGGCCTGTAGGCCAGCAGGGTCTCTTGAGGAGTGTCGGAAGGAATCTGGGGGTCCTCAGTGGAGAGGGAGGAAGCAAAGGCTCAGTGGAGGGTGTGGACAGGGATGTGGGTTGGGTTGTGCTGCTGGAGACTGGAACCAAAAGGGCTCCAGGGGCTGGGGGCCTGGAGGGCTCCGTGGGATGCTGCAAACAGGACCCCAGGAGACCCTCTTCAGTGGCCTGAACTCTGCCTGAGTGGGGGCTAGAGGGCCATGGGTCTGAGTTGAGGCCCCACAGCCCCCAGACCCTGATTGGGGCTGGCCTCGGTCTCGCTATGCGCTCTCAGGGCCTGGGGTGGGGTCTCCGGATCTGGGGGAAAGCTGCAGTTTGCAAGGGGCTGGGCTGTCCGGGGCGGGGGGGGGGTGTGGGGGGCTGGCGCTGCCACAGCGGGGACTAGAGGAGGTGGCATGGGGTGAGCCAGAGCTGCCTCTCCACATATCCATCCAGAAGGCAGAGGCAGGACCGAGGGTGCTGCCCCTTTCACTGAAGGTGGTAAGCCCCCCAGACCTTACTAGTCGAGGTCCCTGGCTCCCCCTCTGCCTCCCCGCAGTGCTCCCGAGACTCCCCCCAGGGGGGCGCTCCTCCTGGCCTGCTCTCCTCCCCGCCCAGCCCTGCCCCACGTTGAGCTCCGCTCCGGCCCCCGCAGGTCCCGTCCCCCGCCCCTATGACCAACATGAGCTGGAGCTTCCTGACGCGGCTGCTGGAGGAGATCCACAACCACTCCACGTTCGTGGGCAAGGTGTGGCTCACCGTGCTGGTGGTCTTCCGCATCGTGCTCACGGCCGTGGGCGGGGAGTCCATCTACTCAGACGAGCAGACCAAATTCACGTGCAACACGCGGCAGCCGGGCTGCGACAACGTGTGCTACGACGCCTTCGCGCCCCTGTCGCACGTGCGCTTCTGGGTCTTCCAGATCGTGGTCATCTCCACGCCGTCCGTCATGTACCTGGGCTACGCCGTGCACCGCCTGGCGCGCGCCTCGGAGGACGAGCGCCGCCGCGCGCCTCGCCGCCGCCCCGGCCCTGGCCACCGCCCGGCCCGCGCGCCTCTGCCACTGCCCCCGCCGCCGCACCCCGGCTGGCCCGAGACTGCCGGCCTGGGCGAGGAGGAGCCAATGCTGGGCCTGGGCGAGGAGGACGAGGACACGGGGGTGGCCGATGGCCTAGGCGAAGAGGCCCAGGCGGAGGACGCGGGCATGGCCAAGGGCGCGGGCACTGACGGCAAGGCGTCGGGGGCCCCGGGTCCGGTCGGGCAGCACGACGGGCGGCGGCGCATCCAGCGCGAGGGCCTGATGCGCGTGTACGTGGCCCAGCTGGTGGCGCGGGCTGCCTTCGAGGTGGCCTTCCTGGTGGGCCAGTACCTGCTGTACGGCTTCGAGGTGCGGCCCTTCTTCGCGTGCAGCCGCCAGCCCTGCCCGCACGTGGTCGACTGCTTCGTGTCGCGGCCCACGGAGAAGACCATCTTCCTGCTGGTCATGTACGTGGTCAGCTGCCTCTGCCTGCTGCTCAACCTGTGCGAGATGGCGCACCTGGGCCTGGGCAGCGCGCAGGACGCGGTGCGCGGCCGCCGGCCACCGGCTGGCCCCCCGGGCCCCGCGCCGCGCGCGCCGCCCTGCACGCTGCCCGCCTCGCCCGCCGGCCTAGCCTGCCCGCCAGACTACAGCCTGGTGGTGCGCGCAGCTGGGCGCGCGCGCTCGCACGACCAGGACCTGGCCAGCCTGGCGCTGCAGGCGCTGCGGGACGGGCACGCGATGGGAGACCGCGACAGCCCGCCGTGCCCCGGCCTCCCCGCTGCTGCCCGGGGGCCCCCACGGGCTGGCGCCCCCGCCTCCGGCTCGGGCAGCGCCACGTCGGGGGGGCACGGGCCCGGGCGGGGGCCAGGCCAGGCCGGGCGCCAAGCCCAGGGCGGGCTCAGAGAAGGGCAGTGCCAGCAGCAGGGAGGGCAAGACCACCGTGTGGATCTGACGGCCCCGCGCTGACGTGGCCTGTCCTCCCTCCAGGCCGAGGCTGGGGTGGGGGGCTGTGGGGAAGGCCCAGGGCTGGGCGCTCAGCTCTCTCTTCTTCCTCCTCTTCCCTCTCCCCTTCTCCCCTCCCCCTCCTCCCCCTCAGCTGCCCACACTCTCTGGAGGGGAGGGGGGAGCGGGGAAGGCATTGCCCGCTGGACACCGGCCCCTCCCTGCATGAGTCCTGGCTCTGTCCAGGGTAGGATCTGCAAGAGCCCCCAGCTCGGATCCCTGAAGGTGGAAGATGTGGATAGGACCTCCCACCCCCAGGGCCTGGCCTAGCCGCGCCAGGTGTGGGGGGCGGTGCTGGGCCCTTTCCCCGGAGACCCTCTGGGCTCTCCGGCTGGCTCCGCTGGGTCAGGACAAGAAATCTCCTCCCCTGCACCAGCTCACAGAGGTCACCGAGGGTGCCTGGCTTGAGGAACTGGGGGCACTGTGCTGGGTCCCTACTCTCTGAGGCAGCAAATGGGGGCTCACTCCCCGCACCCCCACCCCAACCGCACTTCGTGTTTTGTGCACAGCTGGAAGCAATCCTAGGTCTTTCTTGTACAGAAGAGAAACTGAGGTTGGATGGGCCTGGCCCCTACTGGGCCCCGTGCTCTCCATTCCCCACCTAGACAGCTGGACAGAGGCCCTGGGGTGGACAGATCACACCCTCTGGAGCCCCTCCCCTGGGACATCATGGAAGTCCCACAAAGATGTTGGTTCACCTTCTGCCGGGTCATGCTTTGGCACTGGCCATTCTGGGGGAAGGGGTTCTGGGACTCCTATCTACCCCTTCTCTGGCCTCCAGCCCCCTCCCTAATTCATACACAGTGTCCAAAACCAAGGAAGCCAAATAAAACTAACTTTTGTTTACAACTGCATATGTGGGTGCATGTGGGGCATGCACACACGTGTAGAGTGTGCACACATGTGTGAGTGTGAGTGCATGCATGTGTGTGTCTACCCCTGCCCTCCAAGGACATGTTCAGCTCTAGGCTGGCTGGGAGAAGCAAAGCTCAGGCCACATGGGTGCCTCTCTGTGCCACACAGCAGGGGCAAGGGTTGGGGGCACCACTGGACATGCAGATTGTGAGAACAAAGAAAGCGGGCAGGCCCACATGCTCTGAGCCCAAGGTCGGCCTGCAGTCAGAGGACAGCGGACACTGTCTGCACACTGGCCACAGCCTGCAGCATGAGTGGCAGAGGGGACACTCAGGTGGTGGTGGGGGAGTCAGCTGCTGCCAGCAAGGAGCCCCTCTGACTTGACTTCAATGACCCCAGCCCTCCTCAGGCCAAGAGCAGGCTGTGACAAGCCCTCCTGGGCTGCAAACCCTCTTTAGTGCCCCCAGGCCACACCCAGACCCGGGTCAGCCTGCTTCTGATGCCCGGGACACGCCGAGTCCCCCAGGGGAGCCCCACCTCAGGAAGTCCTAGAGAGCCCAGCCAGTTCAGAATCAGAGCAAGGACACATGTCCCCTCTGTGGGAGAGGAGGTCTCATGGGGGCCGAATGCCCCTGATCTGGTGTGCTGCTGGCATGGTCAGCCTGGGGGAAGCCGGTCTCTGCAGTGGGGCTTTTGTGTGGCCTGGGCCTCCTCCCAGCACGGGGGCTCCAGAGGACCTGGCAAAGGCCAATGACTCTTGTCACCAGCCCAGGAGTCACACCACTTTCACTGCACCTAGAGGCTTGCAGGATCCAGGAACAAACAGGACCCTTCTGGTTGGGTCAGTCTGTTAAGAGGCACACATGGGATGGGAAATCAGATTGTGGCCACTGGAGAATGCCATCAGCCGCATGGTCCCTGCAAGCCTTGGTCATCAGCCTCGCCCAGGCTGGGAACTGCTCTTGGGGACTTGGTGGTTGCTTGAGGGCCCTTCCTAAACCCTCTGTAAATCACCTCTAGGGTGTGGCCTGTCCTGTGACTGTATCTCTATCGCCCTCCCCCAACCCCATTCTTAATTGTTCTAGATGCACTTTGAGGCAATTTGGGTCAACAGGAAGAGGACCTGCCAGGGAGCTGCTGGGGAAATAGGTTGGCTGTGTGTGCCTGAATACAGAAGTCAGATATGGGGGAGGCTGAGTGTCAGTACCCAGTGATTTGTGCCAACACTGGCCTAACTGCCACAGTGAGGGTGTGTTTGTAGATGAGATTAACACTGACAGTCAGCACCCTTTGGTAAAGCAGATTGCTGTTCCCAATGTGGGTGGGCCTCGTCCAATCAGGTGATGGTCTGATGAGCAAGGCCAAGGTTCCTGGTCAGTCTGAGGGTTATATTTGTGTCAGCTTGACTGGCTGGGTGCCCAGAATGTGCACGGTTCTGGGAGTGTCTTTGAGGTGATGTGGCATGAAATTCACACTAAATTGCAGACTGAGTAGAGTAGATGCTCTCCCCACTGTGGGTGGGCCTGACCCAATCAGGTGAAGACAAAGTAGAACAAAAAAGGGGAGTCAAAGGGAACTCACTTTGCTGGAGTGTTTGAGCTGGGACATCAGTCTCCCATCTTCAGACACAGAATCAGGATGGAACTACACCCCAGCTCTCCTGGGACCCCACCTGTCCTGCAGATTTCAGACTCCTCAGCCCCATAATCACACGAGCCAATTTCTTAAGCTAAGTCTCTCTCTATATATACATATCCTACTGGTTCTGTTTCTCTGGACAGCCCCAGCTACTACACATCCCATCCCATCCCATCCCATCCCATCCCATCCCAGGGATCTATCAGTTTTGCAACCTCACCATAATGATGACCTTGGTTGTTTCCACACACTCCCCATGGACGTCACAGACTGCCCTAGGCCTGCAGGGTCCCTCATGATACGGACACAGCCCCGATCTGACACTTGAACCACTGCCCTACGGGACGAGGCACCAAGGCTCTCCAGGCTGTGAATTCCCAGAGGTGAAAACCGACCCCAGCAGCCTGCCTGGCACTTGAAGAAATACCTCCCTGTGGGTGCCTTGGTTTCCCCATGCACCTGGGATGGCCATGAGGATGGAGGACTGGACCTGGGGTGCAGAGCGGACCTTTACGGACCTCCCATCTTCTGGGGCATGCCACAGGCCAGAGGAAGAGCTCAGGCCTTCTGGCCCTCCTCATGGCCAGGCTAGTGGGCAGGGTCAGACAGGATGATCTTCTTGTCTGACTGTCATCCGTTTCCATGGCCAGAGCCAACTCGCCAGCTGCTTGGGGAGACTGTGGAGGGAGGTGGGGAGGGGCTGCTTGGACGCTCCCAGAATGGGGGCTGCTTCCTCCCCGCCTTTGGGAAGGGAGGAGACCATGAGGAGAGAATAACAGGAAACCACCCCTGGTCCAGCAGTGGCTGGGAAGTAGGGTCCAAAACCCCAATGCCTGCCCGTTTCCCGGCTCCTGACCCCTCCCGGGCTCATGGCCTCAGAGGGGGGCAATGGCCCATGGATCCAGCTGCTGGACCCAGGCTGATAAGTGGGGTTCCCTGGGAGCCTCCGTGGCCAAACGGGCCCCAGCCCCTGCCCTTCCACCTCCAACGAGGCCAGTGGGCAACCCACGTGCAGGGAGCCCTGATGGCGGGGTGGCCCGAAGACCAGAGAGTGCTTTCTGGAATGGGGGACCTGGACTAGCTGGCAGGCAGAGGCAGCCACTGGCCACGTGTAGCTCCGGGCCCTTTAGTGGCTTGGGGATCTGAAGGTTTCATTAGACTTCGTCTGAGCAACGTGCACGTCCCCAGTCCTGGTGGAGGTGGCTGCTGTGCTGAACAGTGCCAAGCAGGATCAGCTTACTGCCCAGTGGGAAGGTCAGGGACGGTTCTGGGTGGCGCCTGGGCGGCTGCTGGCCAGCCCTGCAGCAGGGCTGGTGGGAAGCACATTCCTCCGCTGGCTGCGGGCCAGGCTGATGTGAGGCTGGAGGAACGTGACCCCCAGTCTGTGTCATCCTGGCTGCTTCCTCCCTGGTCCTCCTGGGCTGGTAGGGGGGTGCTGGGTCACCTGTGGAATGCCAGGCCGGCAGAGGAAGACCTTCTCCACCAAGGGCAAGCAGCCAGGGGAGCCGCACACCAGGACTGGCAGGTCACAGACAGGCTGGGAGGCCCTGGCGGGGGGGGGGGGCGATGCTCTGTGCTCCTAGCATGCCCACCAGCCCAGAAGGACCAGGCACCTCTCAGGTTTGGGGCAGCATGGCCTCGAGGAGGGTTGGGGAGTGCCGGGGTAGCTGGCGGGTGCAGGGCCCCGGGTAAGGCTGTCCTGAGGCATGGGGACCGTGTGCCAACAAGCCCTTCCTGTGGAGATGGCCTGGACGGAGGCTGGTGTGAGGCACCCATGTTGTCTGGACCCCGGGGGATGAGTGTACAGAGACAGGAAACCAGACCAATCAGCGGGGCCTCCAGCGCCTCAGAAGCAGGCTGGGGCGGGGGTCAGCCTGGTGTTCGTGGCCAGTGTTTAGACCACAGGTGGAAGGCCACAGCCCCTTCATGGGGTTGGGGGGCTCAGGGTGCACGTGGCTGCACCAGCCAGAGTTTTCCCCAAGGGGTGCCCTCAGCATTCAGTCCCGAGGATACCGCCCAGCTAACCCCAGGGTACATGCTGCAGGGGGGCCTGGTGACACATGGCAGCTCAACCTGCTGGATGCAGGTGTTGGGTGGGGAGGCCGTGTGAGGACATGGAACGGTGGGGCCCTGGGGAGCTGGGTGGAGGGGGATGTTTGGCAGGCTGTGGGTCTGGAGCGTACACGTGGGTTTGCAGTGACCCATGGGTGGTACAGCAGGTCAGGTGAGGTCAGATGGCACTGCACAGAAGAGCCAGGCTGTACGTGCCCACAGCGCTGCTACAGGGGCTCAGACAGGTGGGCCAGGACTGGAGGGGCGGGGGGCAGGGAGCACAGGCTTCCTGAAGGCTAGGGAAGGCCCGTGGGAATTTGTGGCTATCCTGGCTGTGGTTCTGGGGAGCGCAGGTGGGACTCAGAGACAGGGCTGTGTCTCAGAGCACCCCCACAAAGGGGAGCATGGACCAGAGACAGCGGCTGATGGGGGAAATGGGGTTCCAAAGCTCTGCCTGGGTAGAGATATGCGCTCCCAACATCCTCGTGCAGAAACTCTAACCTCCCCGTGTGACTGTCCGGAGATGGGCCCTGGGGAGGGAGTCAGGGTTCCATGAGGTCAGAGAGGTGGTGGGGATCGGGGTGGGGTGGGGGGAACACAGGAGAAGGGACACCAAAGACAAGAAGCCACTGCCTGCATGCCACAGAGAGGGACCTCACCAGAAACCCACCCTGTTCTGGGATGCTGGAGACACAGAAGTCTGTGTCTGGAGACGGGAGCTGTTTAGGCCCCAGTCTGGGGCACCTGTTATACAGATAATTGATAACTGACACACCGAGGGAATGGTGTGGCGGGTCCTTGAAAAGTTAGACACAGGATCACCATACAGCCTGGCAATGCCACTTGGGCTCTATACACCAGTGACAGTGGGATTACTAACAAGAAGCATGGCCCAGGTTTCCGGCACAGAGCCCCTAAAGCCCTTGGAGTTCTCAGAGCTGAGAGCCATGAAGGCGGCTTCTGTTACATAATGAAGTGACTTTGGAAAGCCCCTCAGGGTGGGGGCTGGTGGCCAGGGGACCAAACCCTGGGACCCCAGGGTGTGAAGTGTCAGTCCCACCCCCTAACCTAGGGGGTGGGGAGAGAGCCAGAGGTGGGATCCATCACCCCCCACCAACGGCCCAGAATTGAATCCATCGGGCCCACGGTTGAAGCCCCCATAAACCCCACAAGGCCGGGCTTGGAGAACTTCTGGAGACCAGGTCAGATGTAGGGAAAGGGACGCCCCCGGAAGGACGGAAGGACCCGGAAGCCCCAGGCCCCTGCCCCAGGGCCTTGCCCCCAGTGTGTCCTCCAGTGGCTACTTCGGAGTCCTGTCTTATCACAATAAAGGGGTTAATGCAGGAAGGAGAATGTTTCCCTGAGCCCTGTGAGCCGCTCATCACGTGCGTGGAACCCGCCGAGGGACCGTGGGGACCTCGGGTCTGTCGCGAGGGTCAGAGTGCGTGTGGGTCCCAGACTTGTGATGGGTCTGTGGTGCGGTGGTGTGTGGGCCTGAAGCGTGACCGCGTGGGGGATGAAGCGGTCTCCCTCTGAGTGCGCGTGACAGAGACTCCGCGTTGGGTGGGGGGGGGACAGGGACTCCGCTGGGGGGGATAGGGACTCCACAGGGGGCGTGACGCTGACTCCGTGTGGGTGTGACGCTGACTCCGCAGGGTCATGAGGCAGACCCGCGTGGGTCCGACCCTGACTGCCTGTGGACCGGGTCAGAGCTGAGGGCCCCCCCAGCTGGTGTGTGGCGCCCTCCCCCCAAGCACACACAGTGACCCTAAAAGTCAGAGGGGAAGGACAGAGCAAGAGCAGAGGACCCCAGCAGCGTGGTTCCTGCACACCACACCCCAGGGGCTGCGACCATGGTCTCCAGGAGATGCGCACACACGTGGGAGCAACATTCACCACGGCCAAAGAGTGGAGCGACAAAATGTCCACCACGAAGAAATGGCTGCACAAACGGCGCTAAGTCCACACAACAGAACCCTACCCACCCTTTAGGAGGAGCACCTGACACGCTCAGGGCGCCAGCCAGTCACAGAAGCACGCACACGGCATGATTCCGTTCGCGAGTCCGGTTCCCAGACGGAGGAGGGAGTGGGGGTTTCCAGGGCTGGCCGCGGGCAGGAAGGTCCCCAGTTCTGGCTGCCCACGATGTGAATGAGCTTCACGGGGCTGACGGTGTCTGGATGAAAGGATGGGGATGGCTCCCCACGGTAACGCCAGGGGAACTCTGCTCCCACAGCAGGGGCAGCGCGGGGATCAGCGCAGGTGCCCAGTGCAGGTGCCCGGGCCAGGAGCAGCCAGGGGGTGGGGCGGAACGCTGACGGACAGCTCGAGGCCCTGCCCCCCCCCCCCCGTCCCGCCCCGCACGCCCCATCCCGGCTCCGCAACCAGACACCCGCACCGCCCCGTCCGTGCTCCTCTCCGGCAAAGACCCACACACGCACGCCCCACCCCAGACACAGGTCCCGCCCCACACGCCCCGCCCCAGACACATGTACCGCCCCGCACACCCCACCACGCCCCACACAGGTCCTGCCCCGCATGCCCCACCCCAGACACACGTTCCGCCCCACACGCTCCGCCCCAGACACCTGTACCGCCCCGCATGCCCCACCACGCCCCACACAGGTCCTGCCCCACACAGAAGCCCCGCCCCGCATGTCCCACCACGCCCCACACAGAAGTCCCGCCCCACACGCCCCACCCCAGACACAGGTCCCGCCCCGCACGCCCGGCCCCGCCCCACACAGTTCCCACCCCACACGCTCCGCCCCGCCCCAGACACAGGTCCCGCCCCACACGCTCCGCCCCGCCCTCAGACACAAGCCTTGCCCCACACGCTTAGTCTCCGCTTCTCCCCGGCACAAGCCCCGCCCCGCTCAGCCCCGTCCCTCGCGTTCACCCGCCCACCGCCAGGGGCCGCTGTGGCGTCCACCCACCCGCCCGCCCCGGCAGCCCCGTCACGCCGCCTCACTCCTTCCCAAGATGGCGGCCGCGGCCCTGCTTCGGGGCGCGGTTCCGGGACGCAGCGGCCCGGCCTGGCAATGGCGGCTGCGCGCGACCCCGAGGTGTCGCCTGGTCCACGGCTCGGGCCGTCACGGTGACGACCCCACGGGCGGCGCGGCTTGGGCCTACTTCCCGCTACGCGAGCGCGCCTTGCTGCGCGTGCGCGGGCCCGACTCCGCGCCCTTCCTCCTGGGGCTGCTGACCAATGAACTGCCGCTTCCGGGTCCTGCGAATGGCGCGACCCCGCCCCCAGCACGGGCGGGCTACGCCCACTTCCTCAACGTCCAGGGCCGCACGCTCTACGACGTCCTAGTCTACGGGTGAGCGCAGCAGCGGCGCAGGGGTGGGGCGTCCCAGGGAGGGACCGGCCGCTCCGGGAAGGTGCAGGTCTAGGAGTCTCCCCAAGCCGGGCATCTAGGCGGGGGCTCCCGGAGGCCGGGGAAGGCCGTCCAGAGCGGGGCACGGGGGGCGTGGAGGGCATCCAGGGGCAGACACCTGCGGTGGGAGGGACGCCCGAGGGGAGGCTACCTGAGGGGCGTTGGGGGAGGTACACCTGCGGGTTGGAGGGTAGTCTGGGGGGGGGCGAGTACCCTGAGGGTGGGAGGGGCACCTGAGGGTGGGAAGGGTCCCCAGGGGAGCACACCTGCGGGTGGGAGGGGTCCCTGGGGGGAGGCCACCTGAGGGTGGGGCGGCGTCCGGGGGAGGACTCCTGAGGGTGAGAGCGGCACTTGAGGGTTGGAGAGGCACCTGAAGGTGGGAGGGGCTCCCGCGGGGTGGGGAGCGCACCTGAAGGCGGGAGGGCACCTGAGGGTGGGAGGGGGCCCCGGGGGGAAGCACACCTGGGGCGGGAGGGCCCCGCCCCCCGCGGGGGAGGCCTAACCGAGGGCTGGAGGGCATCGGTGGGAGGCTGTCAGAACTGGCACCCAGGGGCGGGCCAGCTGCTCGCACTTGGTCTCCAGGTGCGCACCTTCGGAGTGACTACTTGGGCTTAGCCCTGCTTGGGAAAGCAGTGGTGGGAGGTTTGCAGTGCTGCGGGGGGGATGGCCCCAGAGTTGGCGGCTCTCTTCCAAGGGAGGAGGTGAGGAGCCAGGTGCATTTGTCCCAGCCAGCCCTCCTGTTCGTCCTCTGCTACCTACCTGCGTCTGTCTCAGGGGTCTGTCCCAGGGAGAGGGCCACTTCCCTGGGAGCCCAGCGCCCCCCTGCTTGGTGCTCTGGAATTTTTGGTGTCAGTGGCCTTGTTCCTTCCGCAGGGCTCCCTGTTCTGGCTTCCTGGAGACAGCATCTTGTCTCAGGGGTGGCTCTGGTGTTTTCCATTTGAAGTGGACTTTAAATGGGAAGGGAGGGGGAGCTCCCATGTAGCCGTCCTTGGTCCGCGTTGCCCCCCAGCTGATGGACCCGCATTGACGCTCCATCAGCTGGAGCCCTCCTTTCCGCGGGGGTTCACTCTCCATGGTGTGCCATGCTGTGGGCTTGGACGAGTGTGGAAGGATGTGTGCCCGTGACCCCAGTACCCTTCCCCCAGTTCCACACGCATTGTCTTGCCTCCTGTGATCTGGGGTGACGATCGGGTGGGACATGGGCCACTGCAGAGTGCATGCAGGTTCGTCCAGGTTCCGTGTGCTTGCATGTGCGTCTGCGTGTGTGCAGATGTCTGTGACTTGGTCATACGTGTGGGCCCGTGTTATCTTCTGACACCATGGGGTCCCCTCCTCCCCCTGTGCAGCACACCTGCCCTTCTCAACCCCAGGAACTCGCCCAGCCGCTCCTCCCCACCTCTCAGGGGTGGTCATCTCAGCAGAGTCAGAGAAAGGAAGTGGTGTGGAATTGGGCTCGCACACCTTGATTCCCTTTGGCTCTGTCCACCTGTATCAGTGTGGACCCGTGGCTCCTGTTTATGGGGATGAGGGTAGACAGGGTGTATATTGTAGGCTGAGTCCCCAGAGGTGGGGCAGCAAGCCAGCCCCTGCAGCTCCTTCCTCTGAGGGTGACTGGTTTCTCCAGGGCAGCACCTAACGCTGTCCTGTCGGGGTCTGGGGGGGACCTGTCCAGCTGGTGAGGTCTGGGGGAGGGGCCTAGGACATCAGCTGGTGGGATCTGGGGGAGGGGTCTGGGACATCAGCTGGTGGGGTCTGGGGGAGGGGCCAGGACATCAGCTGGTGGGGTCTGGGGGAGGGGTCTGGGACATCAGCTGGTGGGGTCTGGGGGAGGGGTCTGGGACATCAGCTGGTGGGGTCTGGGACATCAGCTGGTGGGGTCTGGGGGAGGGGCCAGGACATCAGCTGGTGGGGTCTGTACTAGTCCATGGCCTCT